AGTAGCTTTTCTATTTTTATAGACTTGACTACCTGGGGCCAGACCAATAGAGACTAATACAAATGAGGCTGAAAGTTCAGTTAAAAAGTCTGGTAATGTTATTATAAATTTTGGACAGTATAATTATTTGTTAAGACTTTTACAAGCTATTATACTAAACTATAGGCACCAAGATATTGACATATAAACACGTTAGAACTGACAGTAGAGCTCAGAAATTAGACCGTTTTTGCGCTCCAAATGATGTATCCAATGCGATGTCCCAGAACAATACAGATAATGAATTCGATACAAGGTATTTCAAGATTTTTACTTGTTATTGAAATGAATCAAAGGCGTATAAAGTTTCGCATCAGTCGAGTATCCATTGATCCTTGAAAAATCTTTATAGCAAATTATATAATAACATTATTGTATTTGTTTTAGCCATAATTGTCATGATTCTATCGAAGGTGACAACGCTGTATCGTCAAGTTTGAAACGTAAGCGTGATCGTAATGAGGTTCGATTGACAAGTATTTTAACATTGCGAAAGCGGTTACGAGAAGTCGAGCACAAAGGTAAATATGAAAATTATACTTAATTACCCTTGCTAAATAAACTATTAATATCAACTGTATTTATACTCTTTCGTGCAGGGCTTACCGAATTGCTCTCTAATCACACAATGGTTGGTTGTGTTGATGATTCGTTAACTTTAGCTCTTGTACAGCATCAAACAAAACTTTACATGATCAACTATAATATTCTCAGGTAACATGACACTATTTATCAGTGAAATTTATATGCATTTACTATTTACTCTATTATTCATTAAATATTATGAATTTATTAGTGAAGAATTGTTCTATCAATTAACTCTTCAAGAATTTAGTAACTTCGGATTTATTCAATTATCTACTCCAGCCCCAATATATGATCTAATCATTTATGCTTTGGAATCAAATGTTCAAGAGACAGAAAATTTAAGACCAAATCATGAAATTGCTCTGGTATTTGTCATTTGCACTGACTTACAAAGTGAATGGGTTCTTAATTCATTTTAATTAATTTGATTTTAGATTATCGTTAATAAATTGATCTCTAGAAGACAGATGTTATTAGAATACTTTTCTATGACTGTAAGTGAACAAGGTGAACTGGTCACTTTACCATTAATGCTTAAAGGATATGCGCCGAACTTGAATAAACTTCCGACATTTTTGTTGCGCTTGGGCAGTGAGGTAATCAAAACTTTTTTAGGTTCTTACATTGAAAATTAAACATTTATTGATCTTT